TGCTGGAGGCCTTTGTGCGCCCAACTTCTGTTTATTTCGCTTTTTCCGGACATTAACCCCTGCTTCTAGCATTGCCACTCAGTGCGCCGTGCCAAGTACCCGGACACCCCCGAGGCTCGCCTATTTCTCTCTGGTGTCTGGCAGATGGCCCGCTTCGCCGACCCAGCTAACCGCCACCTTAACGACTTCTTGAAAGTGCTGTCTTGGAACGGAGGTATTCTCCCCGGAGTGGTGCGCCCTATTTCTACACTTCCTTTTAATCCCCTTATTTCTTTTTCCAGGCTACCGGCGCGCTCAAAGGCTGGTCCGTCCCTGAGTTGTACACAGACCGGTGCAACGAGGAGGCCGGCTACGTCGCCAACGTCAACTTCTACAACGTGCTGACCCAACTCAAACAGCAAGAGACGCGCGCCGAAGCCAAACCACCGCGCCAGGTCTCTCCCACCGCTAGCGAATCCTGGGAGCATTCCCAAGCGCTGGCGCACAGTTATATTGGTGCGCCTATCTCATTTTCCTCTTCCGTTTAATTACTCAACAAAGAAATCCTTTTACTTCCAGACGACGAAGCCATCGAGGTCGATTCCAACGACTCGGAGGAGGACGCCCCGCCCGATGATGACGATATGGGCGCCCCCAACGAGCCCTCCCGGCCTCTGCCTGCCTTTCGTTCCCTGGTCGATACCGGGGTCCCCATTCCCGAGGCCACCGAAGACCGTAAGTCCATTTCTTTACCAAGTCACTTCTTATGATGCTTATTTCTTCCTCATTCTAGTTGCGCGCGCCAGACGTAGCCCCGCCGAGCCTTCTCCATCAGTCTCTGAAGACCAACACGTCCCCAAGAAACGGAACTTAGGTGCGTCTAGCTTGTTATGGCGGGCGCACTGTTTTTCTAACCTCTTTGTATGTTTTTCCAGGCAAGGGCCGAGCCATAGATACTGCGCCCGCCTCGCGCCCATCTACACCAGTTCCAGTGGACCCGCCCACATCCAAGAAGCGCAAGTCCAGTGCGTATGGTTTACTTATGAGCGGCGCACCAGTTTTCTAACTTTTACCCTTGTCTAGACAAGGCGAAGGAAGCGGGGGCAGCGGCTTCCAATTATGAACCTGACCGTCCGCTGCTTTTTTCTTATTCCTGTCTTCCTATCTCTAATGCCTTTATTTCACAATCCAGGCTTCCAAACTTACGGGCGCAAGGAGGACGAGCTTGCCAAGGGTGTCGCCACGCTCGAGGGCACGACCTTCGAAATCCCTGACCATGCCGGCCCTTCCCTTACCCAGGCATATAACCGCCTTCGTCATGTAGCTTCCAACCCGTCCTGGAGGGTGGGCGCACCTCTTTTCTTTCCCTGGTAAATTTTCTTATCTAACTTATTCTTTCTAGCGCGGGAGATGCGTCCAATGTATTGCCATAGTGAAGTCCTGCCCAACACGGGCGCACGGAATCTCCTGCGAGACTTGCGCTATCTCCAAGCGCGCTTCCTGTTCTCACTGCCGGCCTCTCCGTGAAAACGACGAGATTCACGAGAGCCTCCTGAAGGTGATAGACTCTGGGCCTTCTGGTACAGTTCATCTCGTCTTTACACCGTGATTCCTTTACTGATTTTAAACTTCTTTTCTTTTTAGCTTGGATGCGCCATCTCGACCGCGTGGAGTCTGCGCACAAGTTGGCCAACGACCTCCGTTGATTGGCTACTGACGCGGAGACCAACTATGTCTTCGAGTTGCGCTCCATGTTGCAAGTCATTTTGCGGGACCATTCTGAGGTGGCACACAACGATGCCATCGTCCTGCACCCTCACTGGCCCGGCATTGGACAAACTGTGGCGCAGCTGGCTGGACGTCTTCAAGTTGATGTGGACTCCGTTATTACTCGCGAAGACCAACTGGCCGAATTCCCCGATGATCCTTCCTTGCTCACTTTCGACGATGAGCCGGACGATTTCCAGGGCGGCTTCGCGTCCCTGCTCAACATTCTGGACCCCGCGCCCGCCGTCATTCCTCGCGCGCCAACTCCTCCGCCCATCGCAGAGTCTTCTCGGATGGCTGCCGCCCGTGCTGAAGTTTCCAAGGCGGGTGCACCGAAAATCAAGACTGAACCCAAGGCAAGGTTTTTCTTACCCCCTTAACAAGTTATTGACTCGTTGCGACTTCTTTTTGCAGGACTTCATGATTCCTATCGTGTCCCAAGCCTACGGGACTATTTATGAAATCCTGGACTCTGACGACGAGGAGGCTCCCGCGCCTCATATTTCTGGTGCGCCCATTCCAGGGACTTCTTCTGTGCTTTCTGCAGACCCAGTAAGTCATTTCACTTATTTACGCTGCGCCTCCTCCCTATATCATCTGATCTCTAGGACCTTCAGCACACCAACGATGCCCTTCTTCAATCCGCTGTCAGACTCAGCAACATCGAGAACAGCGAGAAAGCCCGCGCCGCCGACAAGGCCCCCGGAACGTCTCTAAAGAGGAAGCGCAAGCCCAAGGAGCAGCGCGCCGGCTCCCCCTCGTAATAGACCAACAGCTGAATGGCAGCCTAGTAGTCTATCCTTCTTAGAGTCGTTAGGATTGTTGACCTCCTTGCTGGACTTTATCCCTTTGCTTGTCCTTTTGTAACTAGTTCAACACTAGTCTACCTATCCTGTATCAATCTTAGTGCGCCCTTGGGGCGCAAATCAATACTATTATCCCTGGTCTTTTGTCTTGTCATAATTAAGGCCAAGCTTAACATTACAGCTGACCATCATTGAGACCGTCTTTGACTATTACAAGTCTGCATCCACCCGTATTTTGGTGCGCCAGACCTTGGCTATTGCCTGGAGCCCGGCGCACACCTTTGTAAGTGTATGCTGATGATGGGCTATTTTTAACTCAAATTTCTCTAAATCATCGTGCGCCCGTCCATCTATTTCCGTTCCGTGTTGCGCCGCTCATTGTTGAGCTTAAGCAATCCCTATTTCTCTCATCACTAATTCTGCCATGAATCAGCGGAGTGACTTCATTTATTACTGATAAGCTTGGCGCCGTCAGAGGGCGGTGCTTTCTCATCTTTACTTCTATTGATGGGTTCCTTGATTAACCGCTTAAAAATCGGCTGCTACATCTTACCCCTGTGTCCGATGCCGTCTCACTTGGGTTTGGAATGCTACCCAGAAGGGCCGGGACGCCATATGATGTTTTATCTGAGGCTCCAGGTACCTTCTTTTACTGTGCTGCGCCCGCCTTCTGATTTTCGCCGCAGCCTTCTTTTCCTTGTTCCGATTGCAAGTCGCAGGATATCCCTTGCCAATTCGTCCGTTGGGGTGCCCGATGTCAGGGCTGTTTTCAAAACCCTGGCGCCGCTCCCTGTTCCTATACCAAAGTGCGCCTCTGGTACAGTGTATATGGACGGCAAGCTTCTCTAATTCTTCACAATTTCCGTGAAGTCTTATCACTTGTTCACACTTCTCTCCTTTTAGCTGACCCTGTCTTTGTCTTAGCTCATATTTTTGCCGAACTGTTTCATAGGAACTATCACGGCGAATTGTTCCCTTCCACTTTCGAGGATCTCTCTGAAGACGGCTACCCGAGGGAATTCGTGCGCTGGGTGCGCCAGCAGTATAAAGAGCGTTACAGTCTCCTTGACCTAGAAGTGGCCCGAACGCGGTTCTTGGTCGCGGAACGTCTGTTCATGGTGCGCATCGTTTCCCTCAGGATTGCGGAGCTTCTTCGAGCTACCTAGTTTGTCCTTGGCTTGCACATGTACATCAATTTGCCTCTTGATGTCGCATGCCCGTCTTTTTGTCAATTTGAAATTCGGACCCTAAACCATCCTTTTGGTTCCGCAGCGCGGGTCTTTTTTATGATTGATATCGCTCACAGTGCCTTTATCAGCTGTCTCAGTTATTTTGACTTTCCCTTTTTCTATAAAAAACGGGTGCGCCCTCCTTTACATTTTACAACCTATGTCCGCTTTTTCTCATTTAGAGCTTCTGAGCATGTCGCGCTCGGGGCTGAACTACTGTCATGAAACCCTTGCTCCTGCCGAACGACTAGCTAGAGCGTGGCGCTATGCTTCTGCCCTCAGCTTCTATCAAGGCGGATTCTCCTATCACTTCCTGAGCCGGTCTGGGACTCGTACACTCGATGCCCAATGCCTGCACATCCTGGGCCACTTCTTGGTACGTTTCCTGGCCATGCTTTATTTTCCCTTTTGACTTATTTCTTAGCCCAAGGACCCGTGTGCGAATTGTACCGGGGCTGGTGTCGAATGTGTTCCTATCTGCGCCTCGCTGCCTTGCGAGCGCTGCTGGATTTTGTACCGTCACACCTGTTCGATGCTAGATCTACACCGTTGGAACGAGCTCTTCCTCGAGCTGTGCTCTATGGCTATTCTTTCATTCGACCATCCTCGTGCGCCCTTCCTTATTTCCTTATTTTATTGCCTTATTCCCATCTTAGTTACTCCTGGCGACTTGGTGCACTTGCTTGACCTCAATGGTTCCATTATGCCGCGTTTATTTGGCAATCCTTTTCTTCCAATCAACGAGTTGTCGAGCGAGAGCGCCGAGCGTGTCCTGCGCAACTACTCTTCCGTGGAGCAGCTGGCGCAGTTGTCTCAAGAAGTAGCCCGCGAAAGTCGTGCGCCGGGTATTCTCGAATTCTTTAATCAACGTACTGCCCGTATGCTAGAGCTGAACCATTACGCCTGTGTAAACCCAGCTTCTCTTTCGTAACATCGCTCTAGTTCAGTCTTTCATAGTACCACTTCGTATTTCGCCTTAGCTATTATTGGATCTAATAATAGCCTTCCTGACCTTGTGGTCTATTTCCGGTACCGGTCCGATTTCCTGTCATATGGTTTGATCGTCCCCTCGTGTAACAACGATCAGATTCAGGCGCGCGCTAATCCGCTTATTTGCGGACTTTTACCGGCGCGTCATTTTTCTGCTGACATGAAACCGTGCGCCCGATGCCGCGTCCCAATCTACTTGTCTTATGTCTTTTTATCTCCGTGCACCGATGACCAGGTAGAACAGTGGTAGTTCACCGAGGGATATCTGTGTTTGGCTAAAAGATCTCCCCTGGGAGTCTGGGTTCGAACCCCAGTCTGGTCATCCCATGGCTGAATCATGTTTTTGCTCCTGTTGCGGCGTCATTCGCCTGCTGACATTTCTAAATGCCAAGTAATACAAAATTTTCCTTAGAAATATTTCTTGCTGGCGCGCCTCATCATACCCCTCCCCCATTCTAGAGATATCAACCGTCCTCGGTTTTACTCAGCGAGGCGAAGTTATTCAGCCTGTGTCATTGGGCAAGATTATCAATCCTAACTTGGGTGCAGCGCCGACGAGTATAAAGTCATGCGCCAGACTTTCTAGGACTGCAGTCTCATCCACCCTAGTATGTCAACAAATTCCGCCGCCTTCCAGTCTGTCAAGGACGAGTTTGAGCAATCCCTTGCTCTCGCTCTTACCTTGGAGAAGGTTGCCGCGCCCATGGATCAGCGCAAGCACCAGCTCCATGACGTGGGCAAGGCCGCTGTACGACCTTCCCTGCCAATCCTTTGCTCGTATCTCACTACTGATTCATTGACTTTTCGTTAGGCCAAGCTTATAGGCTTTCCAGCCGTTATAACCGCTAAGGAGCACGAGCCCCTCCGTGAGAAGTGTTTCGTAGGCCGGGGCCTCAACCACTCGGTCTATTCACCTCCTGACGGTCCCAAGACTGCATATCCCCCCAGCTATGACGGTTTGCGCAAAATTACACACCTCATTCAAGAGGAGCGTGCCCTTCGCAAGGCGGCCCTTACGAGCCAGGCCAACAAAAAGGTGCGCCCGTCTTCCTGATCGTCGTTATTCATTTTCCAGCTCATCGTTATCTTCTAGAAGGGCAAGAATCGTAATGCGCCCGAAAGCGAAGACGAGATGGAAGGTGCGAAGCCAGCGCCCAACGGTGCCTCCGCATCCACTGCTGATTCTTCGGTAATTACAGTCCTTGCTCAGAGACTGCTCCGCCTCCTGAGCATTTCTGTGTCCTCGCAGATGCAAGTAGACGATGAGGACAACGAAGGCTTGCCGCGCGACCTTCACTTTAAGAAGAACAACAGTGCGCCACAGCGTGGATGCGACCATTGTCTGAGTCCGGCGCACGGAAACCACCCTTTTCCCAAGTCCGGTGAACCCGTGCGTTTATCTTCCTTATCCGAATCCACCCAGAAACTCAACCGAACTCGCAGTCCTTAAGCAAGTCTGCTCGCAGAAAGCGGCGCCGGGTCGAGTTTGACGAGAATGCCTTTATTCAGGATGGTCTGTCTCTCATTATCCTCCTATCATTGTCAACCAGACTGAAGGGTCCTCTCCCAGAGGCCATAGTTGACTTGATTGGTAGCGCGAATGCCAACCGTATTATTAACGAGGCCAACCATGTCGCTACCATGTCGACCGACTTCCTCGATCTCGTCCCTGCTATCAGGAAGCGCCTTCACGAGCTCATGGTCGACGTGGCCGTGGTGAACGAGCGTATCAAGGCCGACCTCAGCCTGCGCGCGACATACATTGATGATGCCGCCGAGTTGACCGAGCGTCTCAAGGAATGCACGATGCCCGAACCTGCCCCTGAGCCTGCTGATGGGTCTGTTTCCGCCTAGTGTACCCCTCATTCCTTAGTTCGTCCTGGGCTTCATCCTGTATGTAATGTAGTAGCGCCGACTTGAAGCCCAACTAGCGCTACCTTTCTTTTCAATTCTCCTGGTTGAACTTAAGTCACATCTTGTCCGGTGCGCAGGGTTAGCGCGGGCTTCCTGATTCCTAGCAGCCTACGTTATCCTAGGTTGCCTTTCACGTACTTCTGGTGTGAGCTCACTTTCTTTCTTCATTAGTTCTCGGCGCCATGCCGCGCTAATGGTTTCATCTGTTGCCATCTTCTTTCTTCTCTGCCAGGTATCCCATGCTTCATTCACCTTAGCTTCCTGTTGTTTTTGTAGGGCGCGCCCTGCCTTTTTAACGGCCCTGGTTTGAATTACTCGAGGTGCCAAATGGTTGTCTGAATCGTATTCTTCTTCAGAATCTTCCTCAGGGCGGTTGGCCTCCACATAATTATCCGTGACTCCCAGCTTAACGTTATCAAACTGGAAATCCTTTCCCTTGTATATAGCCTGTTCACCATCATCAACTAACTCGTCTAGTGTTTCCTTAGACAAGTCTATTAAGTTGTGAACATTGGCAGGCAAGTCAATGTGGTGGCGCGCCTCGTAAGGCACTACCCTAAACTGGCCTATCTTAGATTGGAATACCGATCCGTCCATTTCTGCCACAATATAACTCCCACCCTTGGTGCACCTGATCACAATCATGGGCCCTAAGTAACGAGTGTGCATTTTTGTGTTTAACGATTTCTCCACACTTGTGTTCCGTACCAAGACTAAATCTCCCGGTTGGAAGTTAAAATCTTTAATGGTGTGTTTGTGTATGGTCTCGTACCGGCGCACTGCCGTTCGCTTTTCCTCAGTTACTCGGACACGCATTGCTTCTACGTGAACCGAATGTTTCGCCAGTGCCTGCGCCCGATAACCTATCAATTCTTCCGTTGATAAAAGCCGACCAGGTATTTCTACTAGCCAGGTGGCTTCCTCAATATCTAGTGGCAGCAGTGGATGTGCGCCCGTAACCATAAAGTATGGTGAACACCCTAATCCTCGGCGCACAGTAATGCGATCCGCCCAGACTACCTGGGGGAAGAACCAGTACCATTTGCTAGGATTTCCACCTGTAGCTTTGTACAGAGACTGTCTTAATGGCCAGTGTCCATTTTCCACGCTACCATTCCCTTGAGAATTATAGAGCGAGACTCGAATGCCTCGTATGCCATACTTTGCTTCCAACCATGCTACCGCGGCTAAGAAAGCCGGCGCATTGTCCGTTATAAGTTCCACCATACAGCTCCAGCGGCATATAATTTCTTCTAGCAAGAACATGGCTAGTGTTCTTGCATTCTCATTCTTAATTGGTCTGGCTTCCAACCACCGACTTAGAGAGTCCCTAGCGTCGACCACCTTATTGAACCCATTAGAGGGAGTCCCCATAACCATCACATCCACATGTACTCGTTGAAACAAGGATGGGGTATGCGTGACTATAGGAGGAATGCGCAACAAGGTTTTCTGCCTTAACTGGCACAATTCACAGGATTTGATATGTACGTCCACATCACGTTCAAACTCCGGCCACCAGAACCTCAGCTCTATGAGGGCCTTCGTTGCGAACAAGCCTCGGTGTCCGAGACTGTCGTGCACCGCGCATATCATATAAGTCCTGTGTTCTTTTTCAACTACCAGTTTGTGGCCAGTATCCTGGCCCTTCTTATAAAGCCGGCCGCTCTTATCTTTGAAGAATTGAGCAGCCCATCTCATGAAATGTCTATATTCTTTGTCAGAGAAACCGGTGGGTCTCTCCATTGGATCATCTAGCCAGATTCTGAGGATATCTAGGCGTAGGTCGGCATTTATGCCAGCTCGGGTCCTTTTATCCTCCCTGTAAGGTTCCCGTTTCGCGGGGTCAAGTTTTAACTCGGGCGCCGGTAACATAGGTTCACCTCCCTCCTTAACTACCCGCTCCCTGGTATTCTTTAGTTTCTTCGTTGTCAACAACTGCTGGAGCGGCACAAGGATTTCAACATCCTTAGGACACTGGCACGTTACTGCCTGTGATAATTCCAGCTTAAAATCCTCAACCGAAACGGCCTCTGCGCCCGTCATTTCCATGAAATAACCTCCCCTAGTGTCGATATCGTGTTTGAAATCCTCAAAATCCAGGGGCGCCTCGACATTATCACTTTCGGTATGTAGAACCGGAGGGAGGTTATTGTCAAACTCTTCCTCTTTATCCGGGAATACTTCATCCCCAGGCTGCGCCACCCTTCTGGATAACCCATCTGGACCAAAGGTCTTCCCTGGTACATGTTTCAAAGTGAAATGGAACATTAAGATATCTTCTATCCATCTGTTTATTGTGGCATTAGGCCCCATTCCCGGGTTCGCCAACATTCCTTTGAGGTATTTGGCATCGGTCTCTATTACCAATTTCCTGCAACCTATTAACCAGTAATGCATCGTTTCCAGCGCGCGCTTCAGTCCAAACAGCTCTCGTTTTGGCTGAGAATAGCGGGATTCACGTTCATTCAACGGTACCGACTGGAACCTAGCATAATACTTCTTTCTTGGGTCGTCTGGATCTAACTGATAGATATACATTCCAACTGCCATCCAGGAGGTATCTACAGCCAACACAACCTCTGTACCCCATTCATAGTTGATGGGTTTCAGATTTTTACAATTTGAAACCGCATCCTTCAGTGCCTGCATTGAAGCTTTCTGTTCTGGCCCCCATTCAAATTCAACACCTGCTTTGGTTAACTTGTTTATGGGCGCAGCGAGAACAGTGAAGTTCTCGATAAACATTCTTAGCACACCAATTGTCCCTAAGAATGATTTTACGTCCGTATAAGTGTGGAGGTCGCCCCATCGTAGGATTACTCCTACTCTGTCCGTCGAAGGTTTTAACCCTTCAAACGTGCAGATATGTCCAACAATGGTAGGGTCACTCCTACACAATACTGCTTTCTTTCCTGAAAAAGTGCCGCCAGCGTATCCCATGCGGGTGACTACCCTATTCAGGTTCTGAAAGTGTTCCCATACAAATCTCCTTATACCTGTATTTTCTGGTATTGTTTCGTAAGTACCATCTTTCGATTGATACCTCGACCCTGGCCCTCTGATAGGCACATCATCAATGTAAGGCCAGGTTACGTCCGGAATTTCATCCCTTAAGATGTAAGTTACATCGTCGTGAAAGATGGGGACCGAATTGGTCCATCCTTGGGGCAGTTTAACCAGACGCAGCGCGCCGAAGGGTGTCTGAAACGTGGTGTAATCCCGCGAGTCCTCGTGTATTGTCCTGTGGTTGTAACCAGAATACAAGTCTAGGCATCCCCCACACGCGCGCCCAGCGAAATGGTTGGCTAATTCTTCTGCGCCCGGTGGTACACCTGAGTGGGCAATTGTCGCAGCATTCAAGGGTTCTAAAGAGTGAACTAATCTAATAGACTTCCCATCGCTCTT